AAAACACCAACAGAGCTAACAGACAGCCTACAATAAGGGAAAAAATTTTTATTCAGACAAAGGACTACTATCTAGAATATATAAAAAATTGAAAAAAATCAGAGCCCCCCCCAAATTCAAAGACCCAGTTCAAAAATGGGCATCTGAAATGAACAGACATTTCTCAGACAAGGAAGTAAAAGCAGCAAACAAATATATGAAAAAATGTAATATTCTATTTCAAACTCTTTTAAAATTAATTTCATCACTTCCCTTATATTAAAAGAAAGAGAAAAGAAGAGAAAGGAGGAATGGGTCAGAGAGATGAACAGTACCCAAGTGGATGGGAAGAAACCCTAGCGGAGGCAACACCTGCAGTGGAGGCCCCTTGGCTTTTCCTTCCAAACAAACTAAGAGCTCCGTCAAGGGCCTAGATGATTTTCTCTTCCACAGCTGTTCATATTTCAATGTTTTCTAAGTCTTTTGTTATTTGTGATTTTTTTAAAAAAGCTGGAAATTATGGAATAACTTGAAGAAAATACATATCACCCAGGATCCTTCCATCAAAACAGAACTGCTCTTTTTTTTTTTTTTTTTTTGGTATTGGGGATTGAACTTGGGACGTTGCATTTATAAGGCAGGCGCCAGAACCACTGAGCTAAATCCCCAGCTCCAGAACTGCTCTTAATTCACATCTTATGGGATTTCCTCCCCAGCTTTTCCCTATATTTTAAACTGGGCTGTAATCTTTTAGTACACAGAATTCTGTGTCCTGATCTAGCCTGTTCTAGCATCATTCTTTACTTCTGCCATGTACCGATATTATTTCATGATGTAAAATTCTCTGTGAAATAAAGTGGACATTTTGCTGCCAGTTGGTATTAAATTTTCATGCTCTTTTATACTGACTCTGTGACAAGGGAATTTTAAAATTTCAATTCTTATAACTGGCAAAAGAGGAAAGGTTTTTACAGTTCCCTCTCTCTGCTAAATATTTTTAAAACTGCAAAGAATTAATAAACATGGTATTTATTTATAAGGCTGAGCAAATGCCATTATTCTCCGTTTTCCCCACAAGGTCTTTCCTGGTTATAATCACTGGGGAAAGACTCCTGACCCAAAAGAGAACAACTGTCATGAACAGCAAGGGAGGTGAAAATAACCAAATCTAAGGAACTTTGAGGTAGGCTCTTATTTAATATCCATATGATGCTGTCTTCAAGAAATAGGACCATTCTATGAATAGCTCCATAGATTAACAGAGTACAGAAGCAGTTTTAGCTACACAGTGGGAAGGGTCCCAGTCAATTTAGAGCCTACAGAATTCCCAAACCAGCGACAGGCAACTACAGTGCCGCAGCTAAAGTGTGCAGACCTGTTCTGCCATCTACTGGCTGTGTGGCCACAAGTGACCCTGAATAGGTGATAATGGGTGGCTCAGGCTGGCTGGGAAGAGAGTGGCGGAATTCCAGAATCTACTCAACTCCACTTCTCAGGACCCCGTATGTGGAACTTCTCCAGGGTTCCCTTGAGATGTGGATGGCCTAACAGAGACAGGACACCATGAGGAACCTGCTATCCTGACTCTTCATGGAAGCCTGCCCTCTGTCTTCCAGACCAGGGTGTACTTTTATTTTTGTCCTCTTTTCCTCTCTTGTTCGGCCCAAGTTTGCCCTGCAGAGCCAGTTTCTCCCTCACCCCTCGCTTTTCAAATAAACCCTGCCACTATTTTTGGCTTGTCTCATTCAATTCTTTATTAGAGGTGAGAAGGACTAGGAATACATTTAATTGGTGAGCCATTTCTGAAAGGAACTACCTGATAATACCCACCCCCCAAAAACAAATAAATCCTTCTTTCCACAGAGTGGAGACAGATATTTTAAATATGAACCTATATTTAACCCCTACACCAATGCTATTAGGGAGGTAGGTAGCACATAGCTTGCTTGGTTTTTATTCCCCTGGGAATATGGCCATATCAAAATGAAACAACAGAATCATGGGACTCTCAGGTTTCTCACAGCTAAGGGTAGACACAATTCTCAACAAAAAAGATTGAGCTTCCTGGAGTTTTTCACACAGAAGGCAGACTGGCAACTGGATTTAGGAAAGAATAGGGATGGAAGCAAGAACTAGAGGTGAAAATTTGATGAGAAACAAGATTTCTTTCCTGGTACTGAGGATCCCACTCAGGGCCTTGTGCATGCTGGGCAAGTGCTCTACCCTAAACTACACCCAAGTCTCAAACAGAACACATTGTTTCTATTGTGCTGGAGAATGTTCTGCAAGCGAGTCTTATCAGTCATAAAGAGAAAGACATGGAGATGACTGGTAGCATCTTTAAACAACAGATCTAAAGTAATATCATCAATAATGAAACAAATAGATGTCACATGACTTTGAAAAAGATGTACTGTGGGGACAGCAACACTGGGCTGCTCCTGCCAAAGATGAACAACGTGAGCATAATCTTGGAACAAGAGCAGAAACCTAGACAGAGAGGCACCCTACACAGTGACTGACCAGTAACACCATGCCCTCACAAATGCCAAGACCATGGAAGACAGAGAGGATGGAGGCATCACACTAGATTAAAGGCAAGTAGCTGGATGAAAGGCAGCCCCTTTAACAAAAGATGCTGGGAACATGCAGAAGACCAAGTCTAGATCCATAGTCTCACCGTGCAATGAACTAAAATCAATCAAAACAGATCAAAGATTCAAATGTTAAAACAGAAACAATCTACTGGAAGATAAAATAGGTACAACTCTTGAAGCCATTGAATAGAACCCCAATCATACAAGAAATAACAGCAAGAATCAACAAATGGGATTACAACAAACTGAAAAGCTTCTACACAGCAAAGGAAACCAACCACAGAGTAAAGAGACATCTATGGAATGGGAAAAATATTTTGCCAGATACTCTTCAGACAGAGGACTAACATCTAGAATATATAAAGAACTCAAAAAAAATTAGATTCTCATCAAATAGAAGATTCAATAAAAAATGGGGAACCAAAATGAATAGACACTTCTCAGAAGAAGTACAGATGGCCAATAAATACATGAAAAAAATTTCAATATCTCTGGTCATTAGAGAAATGCAAATTAAAACTACACTGAGATTCCATCTTACCCCAGAAAGAATGGCTATCATCATCAAGACATCAGATAACAAATGCTACAGAAGCCAGATGTGGTGATGCATGCCAGTAATCTTAGCACTTGACAGGCTGAGGCAGGAGGATCGCTGGAGTTTGAGGCCATCCTGGGCTACACAGTGAGTCCAAGAGCAGCCTGCACTGAAAGCGAGACCCTGTCTCATAAAACCAAAACCAAAACCAAACCAAATCAAAAAGAAATCCTAGAGAGGTTGGGGTGGGGTGGGGGTGGGAAGGAACCCATCTACATTATTGGTGGGAATGTAAATTAGTACAGCCACTATGGAAATCAGTATGGAGATTTCTCAAAAAACTAAAACTAGAAATTCCATTTGACCCAGCTCTTCCCCTTCTAGGTATCTTCCTGAAAGAGTTAAAGACATCTTTACAGTGATACATGCATACCCATGTTTATAGCAGCATAATTCATAACTAAATCTTGGAAGCAGCCTATATGTCCATCAACAGATGAATGGAAAAAGAAAATATGGCATTTATATACAATAGAGTACTATTCTGCCATAAAAAAGATAAGCTTGAATCATTTGTAGGCAATGGCTATATCTTGAGACTGTAACATTAATTGAAATGTCAGATACACAAGCTTAAATGTGAGAAACCTAAACTATAAATAAAGAGCAAAATAAAAGACAGGAATTAGGGAGACTGGTCTTCTGCAAAAGGCAAAGGGGCCAAGAAATGGGGCGGGTGTGTGCAAAAAGAATGGAAATGTGAATGTACACTGACCAACTTCTAATGAGGAATGTAATTATTATGTACTGCAAACATGTAAGAATAAAAAGATAAAATTAAATTAGAAAATAAAAAGGGGTGGAGATGTGGCTCAGGGTGAAGGTCCAGGGTCAATCCTCTATTCTGAAAACAAAAACAAAAACAAAAAAATGGTAACCAAAGAGACAGGGTGACTAAATGCACATGATATCAGAATTAGATCCTGGACAAAAAAAAAAAAAAAAAAATTCCCCCCAAAATGGACTAAAATAAAAAACAATTTTTCCCTAAAAAAAAAAAAAAAATAGTGGGGACTCTTGGCAAAATTTTTTAAAAGTCTGTAGATTAGATAATGTATCAGTGTTAATTTTCTCACATTGATCAATTTGCTGTCTTGCTTAAGAAAAGAAGTACAGAGGAGGGTCCTGTCTATAAATTCCTCCTAGATTTAGGGAGTAATGAATATGTTTACAGAGAAAGAAATGATAAAGTAATTGATAAATTGTTAACCCTTCACAATCTGGATGAAGGGTACATGGAAGCTTTACACACTTTCTACAACCTCTGCAACCCTGAAATTAGTTCAATTCCAATTCTTATAACTCTCTGCATATAATACGGTCCCGATATAACACAGTACTGATATTTATAATTTGTTTAATTCCAAGTATTATAGCTTGAAATTAGTTCACAAGAAAAGTTTAAAAGGATGAAAGAATGGAGAGGACCCCTTTAGTTGGTGGAGACTTTTTGACCTTCGCCTTAATCCTTCTTCCTGCTCAGAATCAGGATGCAATGCTGGAGACAGGGCAGCCAGCTTGCGACCACAAAGAAAGCCTCAGGCCAAGTCTGACAGGGAAGAAGGGAGCCAACTTGGGCCTGGATGGTGACCTGGAGCCTCTGTGGTCCTGCATGTCCACCTCCTAACTGATGGAAGAAACCTGAGTTCTGTCTTCTGTGGCAGTGCACAGTGGTCCCACCTGAGACAGAAATAAAGGAATTTGCTCAACGTGTCCAAAAGTGGCAGTAATAGAACTAAAACCTACACCTGTCTAGGTTTGCAAGGGAAATCTGTCTCTCTCACCATTTCTCTTTCTCTCTCTCCCTCCTTCTCTTCCTAAAATAGGAATGAGAATATCTAGAGTCCAGAATGAGGTACACCCAAGGGAGAGGACTGTGGCAGAGACTGGCATAGAGACGGCACCTTGAATGCTTGCTGAATCAGTAACGGAAGAAACCAAGTCTGTCTTCTCTCAGGATTCTGGTATCCGGAGCTATTTTCAGAGCTGAAAAAAAAACTCACTGTATTTTCGTGGGTGTAACACTGTGGCTGTAGATATTAGCCAGCAGTTTCATTCAGTTTCCTGGCTTGCTCTCGTCACTCTACCGCTTCGTCCCTCCTTCTTCTCTCCTTCTTCGAAGCCCTCTGCCCTCTCTTCATCCATCAGCTCCTACAGCTCCATGTGCCCCAAAGAGGAAGGGACTGAGGAAGAACCCTGGGAAACTCTCAGAGTAGAGTAGCTCCTGCTGAGACCAGGACCAGCCTTTCCAGACTGGCAGAAAAAACCCCAAATCACTGCAGCAAGGAGCCTGGGCCAGGGTCAGCCACCAGGGGCAGAAGAGCTAAGACTGCAGAAGGGCCCTGAATCCAGGCCAGATCAACCCAACAGACACGCCTATGGTGGTTCTGAAGTTCACAGGAATGGCTAATATACACTCGAAGAAAGTGCATTAAATAAGTCATTGCACAGATTCATTTTAAGTAGTATGATTTTCTTTTCTTCTTTTTGGGGGTGGTGGTGGTGTGGGGGACAGGGTCTCATTAAGTTGCCTAGGCTGGCCTTGAATTTGTGATCCTCCTGCTTCAGGCTGGGATTATAGATTCGCACCACCATACCCAGTTGAATTCTGAACTTCTTAAAAACAAGGTCCTGATATTTATCAGGCCATCAAATAAATACTGTGACACCAGTACAATCATTTTGCTCTGACCCAGAAACTAGAGAAATTGTGGATGCTGCATCAGTTAGGCCGTGGTGTCACAAACTTGGGAGAGAGAGCACCTCTAGCACTCGGGGCCGGCCGGCCTGGGGTCTCCCAGGCTTTGTGGCCTTGCCCTGGAAAGGCCCTGAGGGTGGACACAGGTGTGTGGGAGGAAGCTATGTACCACAGCTAGTGTAGCACTTGTGAGATCCAAGGTAAGATGGGACCTTTCCTTTGCCTATGCCAATGATCTTCCATCCAACTGCCCACGGATTCCTAAGTGCCTGGAAGAGAACAATGTCCACAGCCAATTCCTTCTTCTTTCCTAAGCCACCTCCCCACACCTGGCCTAGACCCTCTGCCTCCAGCCTTGTGGTACTGTACATATATGCTGATCCCAGGCTGTTTGTACCTTGTAATCCATCCCAAGAAATAGCTGGAGTTGGGGGCTGGGAGCTCAGCTCAGCAGGAGAGCACATGCTTAGCCTAGTGCCACCAAAACAAAACAAACGAACTGGGGAGAGGGGAACGGAGCTTTGAAAGGCTCTGGACTGTGGTCTGGGTCAGCTACCATCTGTGGGCCCAGAGTCCCAGTCTACCTCGACAGACACTTTTCTGATTTTAAGAGACAGACACTCCTGCTAGGTTGTCCCTGCCCCATATCTTCACTCAGGCCACAGACTCAGGCAAACAAGTCCATAATAAATCATCCTAAACTGTGTGGAATCCTGGCATCGGCCAGTAACACGAACTTTAAAGCCTTGGTCTAGCTGTGGCCTGGGACAGTAAAATGCCAATCCTGTCTCCACTATTCAGGACCTGCCTGTTCAGTGAGCTGGAGAGGATGTGAGAAGTCTGTGTGTGTGTGTGTGTGTGTGTTGAGTTGGAGGGGGTGCAGTGGTGGCGATGACAATCAAGTTCTTTGAAGGAAGCAAGACTGTCACAGCCTACATCTGATAAAATTCATCCCTCTACAGTTTCATAAGTCTTTTGGAACTGCAAATGAAACTTTCTGATTTAGGAGTTTCACAGGCAAGGCTATACATTTGCTATATTTTCATAAAAGTGGAAACACACCTTCTATTAGTCCACCTTCCTGTTGTTAGGCCAGTCCTGGACATCCACAACTTAAAGGTGAGATGTAATGTGGCTTATGTTTTGAGGGGATTCAGTCCATGTTTGGCTGGCTCCAACACAAAATATCATGGCAGAAGGGTATGGGGGAGGAAGGGTGCTCAGCTCATGGTAGCCAGGAAGCAGGGCAGGGGACCAGGGCCAGAGAGGAAGGGGTCAGGGACCAGATACAGACCCAAGACCACACCTCCATGACCCACTGACACACCCAGAAATGTGCTCACCAATCCCCTGTGAGGATCTCAAAGCCAACTAAGCTGACCCTCCACCCTAACTGGATTATATTAACTAGACTCTACCCATAGCTGGACTATACTTTTTTGGTACCGGGGATCAAACTCAGGACCTTGTGCTTTCGAAGCAGGCAGCAGAACCACTGAGCTTAATCCCCACCCCACATACTTTAAAAAAAATATATAGATTTGCTTGCAAATATAAATTCAATTCAATATGTCACTTTGATTAAATAATATAACATGACTTTTTGAACCTTTTACAGAACAAGAGAATTATCACTAACAATATGCTAGTGGCACTGCTGGAAGCTTTTAGGGATACAGTGAATATCTACGACTTTTCCTATCTTGATAAACTATATCCTGGCACAGTACTGCAGCTTTCTTTTGAGGAACAACCCTGCTCCCCAGTTCTTTTTCTGGATTCTGTGCGATAAGCTAAGGGTTCCCACTCCTTGCTTTAGTGGTAAACATCTGACTCAGTGCCACTAAGAACACCTCCAACTCTGGACTTCAGAAGCTGGCTCAACACGTGGGCATGCTACTCTACAGACTCCATGACCCAGGGAGATTTTCACTGTGATGACTGGGAGAAGAGCTGGAGTCTTCCTTGATAAACCTGGACCTGGGAGATGGCAAGACTGCAGTCCTGACAGGACTATGACCTACTGTGAAATCAGAGAAGGGAACCAACAAGGAGAGGACAATCCAGAAAGAGTGAAAGGCACATGTTGACATTCCAGAGTAGAGCATAGCTGAAGCAGACTTTTCAGTAACATCTCCAATACAGTTGAGTACTATCAGGACAGTATCTGTAAATGCTCAGTTGTTAAGTTAATGCATACATAAGACAATCTAAGTCTTCACTCTGGTCTTGACTGAGTACTATGTTCCAAGTACCAATATTACCTAATAAAAGTCTAAGAACAACTACATGAAGCAGTAATGATTACTGTTCCTTTGGAACAGGTACAGCAAGTAGCCAGTGCTCTTGCCATGGTCATATTCCAGGTCTCCTGAGGGGGCAGCTCTTTCAACATTTTCCCCTCTGAATCTTTTTGTTCAAATGAAACTGATCAAGTCGAGTTAGATTCCTGACCTGTGTAGTAGCATGGGGGCCCAGAACCTCCTTTACTATATCCTGTAACCCTAAGAAATCCCTAGGGCAGTGAGCTTTCAATGATACAGCCCACTGGGGCACATGTGCCCTAGGTTTGCCACCACTGCCCTGGGGCTTTAAAAATATTTTCCAAAGTGCTTCATCACAGAGCACATTAAGGAAGGGTAAGAAAGCCTTCTATTTTGTTGTTGTTGTTGTTTTGGTCCCAGGGATTGAATTCTGGACCTTGCGCTTTAGGAGGCAGGCAGGTGCGGTGCCACTGAGCTAAATCCCTGGCTCTTTTTGTTTGTTTTTTTTAGACAAGGTCTCACTATGTAGTTCAGGCTGGCCTTAAACTTGTGGAGATCATCCTGCCTCAGCCATCTAAGTGCTGGGATTATAGGAATCTACCACTACACCCGGCCTTTCTATTTGTTGATATGGAACAATCTCCAAAAACATTAGATAGAAAAACAGCCCACTTTTTGGCACAGCTTGGTTATAGAGCACAGGGCCATAAGCAGCCAGACCCTGGGTTTAATCCCTAGCACCAGAAAAAAAAAAAAAGCAGGGCCGGGGATTTAGCTCAGTGGCTCAGTGGTTCTGCCACCTGCCTCACAAGTGCAAGGTCCCGAGTTCGAGCCCTGGTACCAAAAAAAAAAAAAGCAAGTATAGAACACTGCATACAATGTGCTACATTTATTGGTCTTATTTTAAAAAAAGAGAGAGGGGTTATATATACATATTTGTGTATCTGGAAGGATATACAAAATTTACATGAGTTGCACTGCTAGCCAAGAAGTGATACAAAGAGGTTTGAATACGTACCTTTTTGCGCTTTTTAGTTTAGCTACATGAATGTATTTATTATCAAAATAAGAAGGAAACCATTGCATTGTTGGAGTGCACCTCAAAGCAAGACTATGTCCACAGGGAGAATTTGATTTTTTTTCAATGGGCTGAGATCTAATCCTAAATGCGTAAAGTCCTTTAGCCCACAGACATTCATCTTCACATTTGATAAAAGTTGTCAGTCATTAAAGGCCATCAAAATATCCATCAATCAAGATAAGCATGTTAACACCATTATCCATCTGGGACTCCACAGAGGAGGTCTGCTCTGCAGCACACAAGTCCACATCAGGAATTTCCTCCTCAGGGACACCACCACCCATCACAGAGACCAAATGAAACCCTGTGTCAGGCCCTGTGCTAACCACTGGAGACAAAGTGTTTACAAAATGCCTCAAATCTTTGCTCCAATGGGTTCAGAATCCTGGTAGAAAGCAAGAGACAATGAACATGATACATATGTAAAATATACTACACTGCACCTTTACCCCATTTTATAAAACACAAAACTGGAATGTATTTTTTGGAAGATTGCACCTTTGAATGGGCAGGGCTTCCCCCCCTTCTTTCTCTAAGGGACACTTGCTGGTGTCATAGATCTGATGGAACAAGGAGTAGTGTAGACAGATGGATCAGGGCAGTCAGCGCTACAGTGGAGGCAGCAGCAGAAGGCTACCACTGAGTAGAGTCAGGACAATCTTATACACTTGCGGGGCAGACTTCAGAAGGCACAGAAGTACACTATGTGTGTCAATGTGGGGAGCAGCAAGCACCTAAACACAGGAAAAACAAGCACTCAAGGGCAGAGGGATCTGAGGTCACATAGGGACAGCAGGCCACCTTTTCACTTAGTGTCTGGCCCGTCTGGAGTTGGAAAAAATGGGATGACATGGTTCATGGTGCACAGGCTTGGAGACCAACTGCAATCCACACCCCATTCTGCCAGCCCCAGGGCACGGAGTGGGTTGAATTAGACTCCTGACCTGTTTCCTACCTATAAGATGGGGCTCCTGACATGACCCATCTCATAGGGTGGCTGAGAAGATTAAGGAAAATGTTAAATGGAAAGTGGTTTGAACAGCCTGCCAAGGAAGAGCCCTGTGTGGCTGACACTGCTGTTACTGATTCCCCATCAAGTCCTACTGCTGCTTCACTATTACCATGTTGTTGGATGCTGTTGGACTGGTGGACAATAATGCATGCTCGCACCAACACTGGTTTCAGACACTGATTTTCCAGTAACCAGTCTTTATCATGGGTACTTTACCACTGAGATAACAGCCCAGCTCTTTTTTATTTTTAATTTTGAGACAGGATCTCTTGAAGTTGTCTAGGCTGGGTGCGAACTTGCAAGACCCTCCTGCCTCAGCTTCCCTCAGTGCTGGGATTACACCTGGTGTAACTAGTCCTTAACCTGTGTGTGATGTGTTTCAAATACAAATTGTCTTTTCTACCCATCCTCTTAAGCAAGTATAAGGATATACAATGCTCTACCCCACGTCTCCGAACTGAGAAACAATCTTGTGCAGTGATAGTTCATTGCTTTTGCCAAGGTTTCCACTGGAAAGTAAAAATGATGAGGAAAGTGAGCCACTAAAGGAAGCAATTTTAAAAAATGGATTTTACTATACCTGATCTTAGCCAAAAGGCCGAGAAGCAATTTAAAAATGGATTTTAAACCAATGAATTGTCTTAGGTGCTCCATTGTTGGGTTTTGTTTGGGAAAACTCAAAACTTTGAATTACAGTATTTTAATGAATCACACACAGTATCTTTATCCTGAATGCTCAGACTTGTGAAAGTCAGAAGTATAATAATGTAAGCCAGGCATAGTATCAAGTATCTGTAATCCCAGCCACTTGGGAGGATGAGGCAGAAGGATCTACAGTTTGAGGTCAGCCTGGGCAACTTTAGTAAGACCCTGTCTCCAAAAAAAATTTTTTTTCTGTGGTACTGGAGACTGAACCCAGGGGTATTCTAGCACTAAGCTACATTCCCAGACCTTTTTATTTGCAACAGTCTTGCTAAGTTGCTCAGGCTAGCCTTGAAGACAGAGGCCAGACTGTGAGACCAGGGAGGGAGCTCAGGAGGCACCCCTTCTGTACCCACAGTCCTGCTTGCCTGGATGCTTTTACCAAAGAAATGGGCCAGATGAAGGGAAATTCAGAACATGCAGTTACTAGTCACCAAAGTATAGCAACTTACCTGCTCACCAAAGTTTAAACCAAAACAGGATATTTCACAAGGCTGGTGCCTTAGGGCATCTCTGCTAAAATGTCAAGGTGCTACGCTTTGCTACCAAAGACTGGGAGGAGCTGACATCCCTGTGCCCCTTCCATCTTGGAGCACCATCCCTGATAATAGGGCGAGGTGACATGAGGTGAGGTGAAACTCTGGGAGTGGTGAGGCTCCAGGGTGGAGTGAGGTTATCCACACACATTACTTGGTATTAAAAATGCTAAGCACTTATTGGTTTCTTTTTTTAGGCTGCCACAAATACCCCCATGGAGAGCGTCTGAGGGAAAATGTCAAGTGTCTAGTTTTAAAGCAGAGCACAATGCTTAGTGTACAGTATTTTTGGCTGTGCATTCCCCAAGTGTCCCAGGCTTAAGACCTCAGCACTGAAAAATCGAACTTTCACAATAGCTCTTATGATAGGTGTTTTCTATAATTCCCCTCCAGAGTGAAAAAAGGGCTCTTTTCCTCCCCAGCATAGGATTCATCTGCTCTTTCAATGATTTATTCATTTATTCATCAGTCTCTCCTTTTATGAGACTGGTAAGCAAGAGATACAAAAGTGGGCAGCACGGTCCTACCATTAACAGCGCAGATCAGAAGCTTTTAGTGAGTGTGTGCTGTATGTCAGCAGCTGCCAGCGCCAGCATGGAGCTGTGCATCGGAGGTCAAGGTAAGCTTTTAGGACAGCATGGCCCAGCTTGCAGATGAAGAGGAGGCAGGAGCTGGAAACACACAACACACCTGCAGGCCACAAAGGAGTTTGCGTTTTATTGTGGAGAAGGGGCCCACCGGAAGAATTTAAGGAAAGACACAGAGGCATGCTCACCCATGGGTGCACCGGGGACTGCACTGGGAGAGAAGCCAGGGCTGAATGCAGACAAACTAGTTGGAGACTACTGCCCTAATCTCAGGGAGAAATGATGAGAAGAATCTAAACCACAGCAGGAGAAAGGAGAAAGAACAGAGGACTTATTTGAGAATTATTCTATAAATAGAAATATACACTGGACTGTTGATTGATTAGCGTATGGAAGTGGAAAGTCAGTCTTTCTTCCCGGCTTCCTATATTTGCTCTAGTCATTGGACAGGGCTCTACCGAGCACAGCAGGGCACGCGGTAAGTGTACTGACTGATTTGTCTTTAAGGGAGGCCAGGAAGGTTGATGGGTTCAATTTGAAATGCTGCATTTGAGAGCTCCAGGAAATCTGAGTGGTGAGGTGCAGGCGTCAGGCGGCTAACTAGACTGCACGGTGGAGTCTAGGAAATTCTCGGGACTATTCCAGAAGCGTGTGCCTGGCAACCTCACTGCAAAACGGACAGGGGCACCGATCTGGAAAAATGTCATTTTGTACGTTCATAAAAGAGAATCTGGAAAACAGAATTGGGAGTTAATAGCAAAACATGATGCTACCGGCTGCCTGACGGACACTTCGGAACAAGTGGCCTCCCAGCCTCACAGAGCTGGCCGAAGCAGACCTCGCGGGCTCCTGCTAGCCCGTGGGAAGGCAGGGCGCACTGGGGCTGGCGTCTAAGGATCTCTTGGCGGGTGGACAGAAGAGCTGGGCTGGCGCCGCCCCGCGGTAGTGGGGCGAAGGTCTCCAGCCCTCCTGGCGACCGAACAAAGCCCCGCAAAGGAAAGCGGTTCGCCGGACCCGAACACCACCGCACTCTAAATGCAACCCGGGAAAGGCTCGCGAGCCTCTGAGGGCCAGAGCCCTTTACCTGTCACGCTGGCCGAAGGGAATGTCACTTCCGTCTCCACTCAAGACTCCAGACTCGACAGCCAGCAGCAGGTCCCGCTCGGCGGCAGTCACACTCCGCGAGAACCACAGCGTGTCGTCTGAAAGGATCCGCTCGGCCCTCGGGGCTGGGATTCGACCACGTGGGCGGCAGGCGTCCCGCGGGAGTTACGCGCGAGGGGTGGGTCGAGGCGGGGCGGATCCGGGGCGGGACCTGAGCTGGGGGCGGGGCCCGACACTCCCCTTTCGCCTTCGCCCTTTCGAGCCGCCACGTAACGCCACGTCCCCGCGCATGCGTAGCGCGGCCAGCGGCAGCGGCTATTTCCGGGGAGAGCGGGGCCGCTGGTTGGGCTTGCGGCCGCCGAGCGCTGCGCGCGAGCGTGGGGAGCAGGCCCTGCGGACGGCGGGGGGCGGGGGGCGGTGGGGGGCGTAGTCTTTTCTTTTTCGGAGGGGCCGGTGAAGCCGGGAGCTGAACGACCAAGATGAACTTCCTCCGCGGAGTCATGGGCGGTCAGAACGCCGGACCCCAGCACACAGAAGCCGAGACGGTGAGGGGAGTGGCGGGCGCTGGGAGTGTCGGCCCGGCATGGGGAGGGTCGGGAGGGCAGCACACGACTCACCGCCCGTGGCCGCCCGTGTTCTCTGCGCGCGTCTCACAGCCTGCGGCCCGCGCCCCCCTCTCGGTTGGAGTAGGGGCGTGGAGAGAGTGTAGGAGGTTTAAAGCCCAGCTGTTGGCGACAGCGTGTGGCCAAGAATAAAACCATCTTCGTGGGGCCCGGAGCCACCTGCTCTCGTCCCGTCACCGCAGGGACTGTCGCCCCGCCCGGTGCTGTTAGTGCAAACTCCGCAGTCGGGTGCCCCCGATCCGTGTCACCCCCGCCCGCGCGGACGCTCTACACGGGATGGGGGGACGACATGTCATTAAAAAAAATGTTAGCCACAAAAACAGTATCTGACGGTTGCTTAGGTTTTAAGCTGAAGACAAACTTATTTTGAAGTTTGGTTAGTGTATGTTGGAACTGAGTGTGTATGACTATTTTTTTAAAGGAAACTTTCTGTTGAGAATAATTTAAGATCTGCTGAACAGTGACTGACATTTAAAAGATAAACTCTAGATAGTGGTCATAGTTTTGTTCCTGAGATCCTGAAGGATAGTAGTAGGAGCTTTTGTCAGGCCCTTACCTCTTGTTAAGAGTTTGTGCTGATCTGTTTATCCCCTATATTGACAGATGAAATGAGGCGTGTAGAGGTGACTACCATGTGAGATCAAGGTCTTAGAGCTGGTTTTCCACTGAGGTGGAGACTTAAAGGCCAAAAAAAATTGCTGATGCTCATATTTTGGTTCTTATCTGGGAATCTATGTAATAATACTAAAATTAACTGCACAAGTCTGGGTTAAAACTTATACCAGGAAAGGCCTATGGCATTGAGCTAGACTTCCAGCCTCAAGTTAAAACTGTTTACAGCAGAAGTTGAAAGCTGGTGACTCTGTCCTTCCTTTGACAGCTGGGAGATATCCCCTCCCCAGACACACACACACACACACACGCGCGCGCGCAAAGGCACCTACACACATAAAGGCATATAGGTACAAGGTATGTGACTGCATTTCTTCATTCCGCCGTGGCAGTAAGACAGCCAGCTACTCCCTTAGGAAATGGTGTTCTCTCCAGGATACCCGAGCCACAGCTCACCTCTTCAGCTCTTGTTCTCAATTTTCTCTATTTTCTATTGTTTGTGTGGGGTTTTTTTTTTTTCTGGTACTGGGGACTGAACTCAGGACCTTGCACTTGTGAGGCAGGCGCAGCGCCACTTAGCTAAATCCCCGGCCCTCCATTTCTGTTTTCTCTAGTATTTGTTTGAGACAAGTTTAGAATCGTGTTTCTTTTGTGTGTTCCTGGTTCAAGACACCAAGTTTTGAAGTGTACCTTAGTAGAGCTTGCTTTGGAGTTAGACTCTGATTTGAATCCCAGCCTTTCACTTTGAATGGGACAGGTAAGAGATGGATAATACCCTGCTTAGAATGAAGAAAGCACTTGCTTTTGAGAGTGCAATAAGGACTAAGAGAAATGAGAAATAGAACCTGTCACTTGGTAAATGTTCATACGGGATAGTTTTTACAGGTAGGTTAGGAGAAATACTCTTTTTATAGTTGGCTTTGTTGAAGAGACTTTTGTAGAGTATAGCTGGGTGTGGTGGTGCAAGCCTGTAATCCCAACACTGGAGACAGAGGCAGGAGGATGGTGAGTTCCAGGCCAGCCTGGGTTACATAGCAAGACCTTGTTCCAAAACAAAACAATTCATAGATAGGATTAATTCATAGATAGGATTTTTGAAGCTGGAAGACTCCTGTGCTGTCACTCAAGTTGAGCCTCCTTATTTTATAGGAACAGATCAGTAAAGCAGCTTGTATAGTATTGCTGAGTTGGCACCAGAACACTTTGTTCATTTGACTGTGAATGGAACAAAAATGTTTACATCATGATTTCAGAATGGTGCCTGAGTATTACTTGTGTAAGTTGTGTATATATTAATTGAAAGGAAAGTGATGATCTGTGTGCTTAATCTGCCTTTGAGTGTGTATACTCAAACTTGAAAGGTAATTTTATCTACTGAAGGCTCTGAGCCACAGTGTGAAGAAAACTTGTTTTGCTGTCTCAATTTATTAGGAAGTACAATTAGGAGTCCTAGGTTACTAATTTAGAAGTATTTACAGTGCATCAGTGGAGTATATAATATTAGATTAAATGTTTTAATTGATGACTTGATCTACCCAAGACACTTGACCTACCAGAGCTTGGAACCTCTGTCTTCTATATGGTTATTTAATATTATGTGGCTTCCTCCCTTTTCTGTAAAGTAAAATGATTTTTTTTTATTGTGGTTTTACATATTTCTTGCTTTTCTTATCTTTTCCAATGGAAACCTCTTTGTCTGAATTCTACTTGTTTTTCAAATTCATCAATGTCTTTTCAGAACTGCTCCGCCCCCTCCCCGCCCCTCTCCCTGCTCTCCTCAGGATCAAACAAGGGCCTTGTGCAGGCTAGGCAACTTCGACCACTAAGCCAAGTCCCAGCCCAGGAATGCTACAATTTTAAGAGGTCAAAGTGTTAACCATTTGAATACCTAAAAGATAAAGTCCTGATGTCTTTGGATTTGAGAAGTAATTATAATCCTTCTTGACCTGAGTTATCTTTTAGTGAAGAATATTCAAATTCTTTACATACGTACATTTATTGATGGTAAGTACATTTGTATGTACTTCCTTTTTCTTTTTTTTTTCCTCTGGTACCGGGTATTGAACTCAGAACCTTTTGCTTGCATGGCAGGTGTGGTGCCACTGAGCTAATTCCCCGGGCTAAATCTTTGGCCTTTACTTTTTCTTTTATAATCCTTTGTACTCTGCTTTTTGTCTGTTGTGGACCTATTATATTTATATCTCAGGCAGAGATGCTGTGAACATTCTTTGTATAAGAAAGTTAATTCAGCATTAATTTGAAAACTTTTGTAGTGTTATGTTTTGAGATGCTAACATTTGTGATAGGCTATTTGTACTTTTTTTCTTTTTCTGGCAGTATGTGGGCTGGAGCCCAGGGTCCTGCGCATGTTGACAGCCCTCTGCACAGCCCTGGGATTTGCTGTTCATTATGGTTCGGTGCTCCAGAGGATATTCTTGTGGAAAGCCTAGTTCATTTCTAGAAGAAAGCACAGAGAACAAATGAAGCAGTGTGTTATCTCAGCCAACTTATAGGCGATTGTAGTGGAAGTAGATTGTGTTGAATTCATTGTCTCAGTCTATGAATGTACTTGTGTTTGACTTTGTACTGTTCTCATGTCTTTTTTTTATTATAATACTTTAGATAATCTGAAGATAAGATTGATTTTTTTTTTGCTTTTTTAATAAAGTTCATAGAGTTCGGGTCCTTTTTTGTATTCTAAAATCATTTTTTATTCCATTAAAATATGAATGAGTTGAATGTTGGTTAACATGAATTATTTTAATCCTACAGCAAACAGCCATCCTTGGGAAAGTTCTGTTCTAGAAAGGTACAGTTGTTTTAAACTTATGGAAAGCAATGTTATATCATAAAATTAAGTTGATAATTGGTGTTTGGCAAGTATTTGTTGAATAAATGATTGAATAGTTAGAGTTGATTGCTGATCTTGTCTTTCATTTTTTTCATGCCAGTTTAGCACTAAACACTAAAGAAAAAAAGACTTAACTAGGAATTGCGAGAAAATAGTGCAAGCTGTTTTATGCTAGTGTCCTTGAATTTTTTGTTCGTTTGCTTGTTTTTTTGAAATAGGGTCTTGCTATGTAATTCGGGCTGACCTTGAACTGACTAGCCCATGCTGGCCTCAAAGTCACAGTTATCCTCCTTCCTCAGCCTCCTAGGTACTGGGATTCCATGTGTGCCCCACCACGCCTGGCTCTCCTTGAAGTTTTACATGTACCTTTACCACCCTGCTTTTATGCTGCAGTCTTATTTCACCGTTTACCTTTCAGTGATTTTTCATCTCATATCTCTCATCTGCTGTCTTGGTTACTTTTCTCATTGCTGAGACAAAATATCCGATACCCAAAGTTAAAGGAGGAAAGGTTTATTGTAGTTCATAGTTACAGAGGTTTCAGTTCGTAGTTGGTTGGCTCCAAGGGAGGGTGGCATGACAGAGGGCTGTCACAGAGGAGAAACAGTTCATGATGAACAGAAGGCAGCAAAGTAGCAAAGAAGCGGCAAGCAGCCTTCCTCTCCTTTTTTCCTTTTTTTTGAGACAGTCTCACTCTGTAAGTCAGCCTGGCTTTGAACTCACTGTGTAGCCCAGGTTGTCCTCAAACTCATGGCGATCCTCCTGTGTGCTGGTATTATAAGTGTGCCACCATGCTTGGCTGCTTCTCCCTTTTATCCTTTCCAAGCTGTCTTCAGTGGTGCACCCCACACCCATGTTGGACCTTCCCATTATCCACACCCAGAACTGTGCCAAACCAATCAGTGGACTAATTTAGTAATCACACACCCTTAATCCCAGTGTTACACCCTTAATTCCAGTGTTACACACTTAATCCCAGCATTACACACTTAATCCAGCATCATACACCCTAGATCCAGCTATTTCTGGAAAACCCGCACCTGTGACTGCCTGAGGCTTTGGGGGCATATCTAGACACAAGCCATAATATCCATATTTTCCTTTGCTAGTTACTCCCTCTGTTTCCCTTTGGTCTCCATTGTGTGTCAATGAGTATAAATAAAGGATTATTAGTGAGCAAAACATTTTTAAATTTTAATTAATAGGTTATTAGATTATTATTCTGATTTTACCCAATTTCCCAGTTCTTAGTGGGATTATTTATCTTTTTAGTGTTGTAATTGGCAAGTGGAGTTGAATCTCAAGTAGTGATTACAGTACATCTCCAACTGATGAATAAGTTCTATTCTGGGAGATGCGTTCATAAGTGGGATTCATTAGTGTCTGGCAAAGTGAGTCTTATACTGTAGATCTGTGAAAGTTCATAACTGAAATGCTTGTAAGTTGGGGGTTACTATGTTGGAAGCAAGAAATTCTGGCACACAATCTTGTGCATGTGCTCTATGGTGGTACACATATTTCATTAGACTTTTCCTTGTTTTGTTATACAAATGACAGGTGAAACCAGTAAAGTTTAAGTCATTTTTTACCACCATCTCCAGTTTTAGTTCTTTTCAGTGATAACAGTATTATTAATTTGGGATAAATCCTTCCAAATGTGGAATTATATATTTATCCTTTTTTACTTAAATGATAACACTGCTCCACAGCTGACTATTTTGTTAATTAAAATGCCTTGGAGACCTTTTTTGTTTTCGTTTTCGTTTTCAAGTGGGGTTTTGCTGTGTAGTTGAGGCTGGTCTTGAACTTGCAGTGTAGACTGGGCTTGCCTCAAACTCATGATCCTCCTGTCTCAGCCTCCTGAATGCTGGGCTTATAGGCATGTGCTGCCACCCAGCATGGAGGTCGTTTTATGTTAAAACATATACAGCTGACCTTACCAGCTTTTGGAGTGCTTGAGTCTCCTTCTGGAGGTGGTTTATAGGTTCTTTCTGTCCTGAGCAAAGAATTGGTCAAGACAAGCCCAAACAGCAACAAAGTTTTATCAAAGATAGGAAAAGAAACAGACTCTACAGAGTGAGTTTGGGCAAAATAAAAGTATGAAAAGAAATACACCTTGGAGTGTGAGGGTAGGCCACATGGGAGAGAAAACAGCGGCAAAAACTCAATGGTGACCATCCTCTTTGTACGCTCCAGTCCTCAGGCTGACGTCAGGTCCAGGCCGTCCTATGGAAAACCTACTTAAGTTCTTTTGAGAAGTCGATGTGCAGGGATTTGGGAACTGTTTTGCACATGTGTCCTGGGATTTGTATTTCACAGGTCAGGACTATTTCCCCACCAGCTTTGCCACAGTCTAATCTCCTGTCTTGCTACTTTATTAGAAATTGTTAAAAATGGCAGGTTTTCCATTAGTTTTCTTAATTACACCAAACTCTCCTGAAAGACCTTGCAAGCTTTGTGCTAAATAGAATGCCTGTCTGTGTCATCCCGATTCCCTCAGTATGTCACACCCTGTTAGCATATTAATTGGTAAATATCTTACATTTTTCCTATTGTCATCATCTCCCGGTTCTCCTAAATAAAAGTAATTCTGCATTATATTTTACTCAAATAGGTAACTTTTTCTTTTTAGAACTATTTTCAAATACAGGATTTTGTTGTTAGATTCCAGTTAAAGGCAGCAGGGTCTGAGCTGCAGCCCAGCCCACACATCCTGATGTGACGCAGGCCTGGATACACTTAATGTGGCCTCAGCAGCCTGGTCTTGCCTCCCAGCCTGGCACTGTGCCTCTGTTCCTCATGTGTAAATGTGATGCATATAGAGCCTGTGTTCTGTGGTTCTTGTGAAGATAAAATGAAATATCCTTGTACTGGGTATGGAACCCAAGGCTGCCTGCATGGGAGGCAAGTACTCCACCTCTGAGCTACCAGCCCAGCCCAGAGGAAATGACTTTTAAAACATAAAAGCACTTTAAAATAGAGCGAGCACAAAGTAAGTGCTATATATGCCACGTTTTACCAATTTTGAGATACGTGTTAGTATCTAAACATCTCTGAAGCCAGTATACATCTTATAATTTTAATTGGTATAATTTCTTGGTATTTATCAAAAAGTAGTGGCTCCTGGTTGCTTTTTAAATTGCATGATATTCATTGTTAACAGATATTAACTATCAGGCCAGTCTTTTTTTGTTTCTTTGTTTTATTGTTTTTGAGACATGATCTCACTCTGTAGTTCAGACTGGCCTTGAACTTACTCTGTACCCCAGACTGACCTTAAATTTGCAGTGATCCTCCTGCCTCAGCCTCCCAAATGCTGGGATTACAGGTGTGTGCCCCCATGCCTGGCTCAGGCCAGTGCTTTTTAAGAAAAGATAGAATCTGGATTTTTGTATGAAGTATTTTGATTTTTAAAAGTTAGTTTAAAAATTGTTTTAAACACTGAAGGAAAAATAGGTTTTTTAGGTAGTTAATACAATATTGCTTATTAGATTAAAATTGAATATTGATTATCCTGAATTTTGAGTGTGAAGTAACTTGAGTTAGGCTAGTTTCTGCCCATTTTGTAGATGATGAAAGATGAAAGTTACAGTTCATCCTTGCTGTTCATCAGTTTCTTCCTTACAAATTCATCTGCTCACTGAAGGGTGTTTGCATTCCCAGAATCAGCACTTGACAACTCACTTTACAGGGGCAGAACAGTGAGAAGTGTGTCATCCAGGGTGCACATGCCCAGCAGAGGACAGACAGGGCCACTCCTTCCTTGTGGCTTCATCTCTTACACTGTTAAACAGTGTCCTTCTCATGGTCTTACAGGTTTTGCACATTCATACTTTTGGTTGGGGAGTTCCTTGTTAATGTGATCCTCATGTGCCCTGCTGACTAGTTAGTACTCAAAAGCACAAGAAGGTGTGGTGTGCCTTCCAGAGATATGTCAGCCAGGGTTCATCCAGCCTGAATTACAGGACTGCTGGCCTTGAGTTCAGTATTAATGATTAGGGATAAATATTAAATACCTTGTCTTTAAAGAGAAACACACTTAGAACAAGCATTTGTATTGATTGGTCCAGTGAGTATGTAACCAGAGAGAGGCTCCCATGAAACCAGCCCTATATTCCCCTAGGAGCCCCCACATGCTGTCCATTGATGAGTGTTTGTGGTGACATTGTAGGACATATCTGCCACAAATAGTGAGGACCGGCTTTATTTACATAGCACATAATCAGTGAGTCAGTCAGGTAGTGTGTCAAGCAGGTATTAAAACAAGAGCAAGATGTGATATATTCTGCAAATTTCTTTTTTTTCTTTTTTGGTTATTGAAGTGAGAATGAAAACACGCTTACTGTAAATAGTTCAAATGAGTATATAGTCTACAGTTGCCTCTTCCTTCCTGTCTCATTTCCTATCACCAGCTGTAATCTAATAATAAATAAACTAATAAAGTTTGGTATGCAACCTCACAGATTGTTTTACTTTGCTGGGTTTTTTGTTTTTGTATTTACCAATATATATATTTACACAAAGAGATTTTGAGTGGAATATATATATTTTATAATTTAACAGTAGATGTTGGAGAATTTTCTATTTACCAGTGAACATAGTAGTTTTCCCCAAGAATTTTACCAAATATTTATAGCTGGGCATAAAGGTGCATGCCTGGAATCCCAGCATTGGGAAGGCTGAGGCAGGTGGATTGTAAGTTTGAGGTTAGTCCCAGCAACATATTGAGACCCTGTCTCAAAAAAACATGGCAAAAAAAAAAAATTATAAATTTCTGTTTCATGAAAGTAGGCTGAATACCTCAAGTATCTGTTGCTTTTTTTTTCAGTACTGG